CAGAAACTTTCCTTCTAATAAGAAGGCTACATTTTACGCCATCAACTTTGGATTTTTCTGACATTACTACATGCATGTATATTTTCAAAAGTGAATTCTCTACATATTTGTCTGAAATAGAGGCAGCCATGCAGTTATTTGGACCTTACATCCCTGCTTCTATCTTACAATATGTTTTGCCCACTGAGATCAGCAAACTCACCCAGAAACATCAACATCTTCAACAACTCTTTAATCCGTGTAATCTAGAAAACAAGCTATCAGCATCACAGCTCCTCCTGGCTCCAGTGGAGGCTGTTGTCAGTGAAGTCTGTAGATTATCTGCCAGGACATTGTTACTGGAAAGACGTGCAACTGCTGAATTATTTAAATGTCATTTCTTTCCGTGCTGACAGCATAACAAAGGAAAATCCATTTGTATTCATTTTGCTATTGTAGGGGAAATGCAGTAAAAACCTGAAGTGCAGAACTTAAGCTACAGTACATCTGCAGAGCTTTACTGAGTTTAAGGTGCCTTGCAAAAACAACCACACCCCTTAGATGTTTTTACATTTTTTTAAGTAACATGGACTAAGAAAAGAGAAAATAAAAGCATTTTTTTTAAACAAATAAAATCTGAAAAATAAATTTGCATTAGGTTTCCTTTTACTCCGATTACCCTGATATGGATATATCTAATATCAGAATACATACGTATGTCCAGGCCTCAGGTTTGCCGAGGAAAATCAGCAAAGAGAAAGCATTGTGGAGACAAAAAAAAAAAAACACTGAAGTTGTGAACCAGAGTTAGTTTTTAAAGCAACATACTAAACACCTAACTAATGCAGTTCAGGCCTTCAACTGAAAGAGGAAAGAGTATGGTCAAGAGGAAACCTCAAAGAAACATGACCATCTAACCAAATATGCAGGTAGCACAAGGAGAACCTTCAAAGAGAAGGAAAAACAATAAAGAGGTATGAATACTTTTGCAGATTATAGTCTGAGCTAGAGGTCTGTGACCTTTACATTCTAAGGTGTCAACTTTGGTCCAGCTTATTCATTAATTGTATAAAAAAAAGAAACTTAGTTTAGAACCAATGACAAGAAAATTATATGAAAGCAAATCTTACAAGTACTTCCCTCTTTTTAAAAAATGGTACACAATTATTGCATGCAAAAACTGCATTTGTTATTATATCTCTATCTAAAAACTTAAATGGTTCTTTAGGATTTTTAGCCAGTTATTGAGGGACCAAAAAGCCCCTGGGCTCAGTGAACTCTAAACTCTCAGATTAAATTCTTATTCTTACCCATATTCTTATCTTCAGGTAACACAGAGTACATGTCAGATTGAATAATACTACTTATACTTCAGTGATGGTATCTGGGTGTTACTTTGTTGTATGTATGTCTCGTAACATGTCCGTTGGTTGTGCTGTTCTTTTTGCGTCTCTTTGCAGGTAATGAAGCAGACCGAGGATGTTTTGTTGTCTCCCTTTTGTCTCCTCTTTCTTTCATCTTTTCTACTTTACTTTACTTTGCATAAAACAAGCGGAACACTATGGCGATAGCCGTACTGCTCCTCTTGTGAAAGTGAAGTCTGTTGGGCTCTTTTTGGCATCAAGACAATTATTCTTATTGCCACATTGCCAGACAGGACACTGTTATAAAAAAGAAGGAAAAAAAAAAATTTCTCAGATCCTAACACTCCTCAAACATTACGCTGTGAAACAGAACATCAGATAAGTATGCTTTGGTTACATACAATCAAATAAAACACGCATAGACACAATTCCCCCTCTGTACACCAGCATTAACCTACATACTCTTCTCAACCCCCTGATCAGTCCCTCACTTTGTTTCCCTTTGCTCGATCTGCAGAGAAATATTTCTGAAATGCTTGAGATCTTTTTCTTTTTTCAGCTGATTGATACATGTTTAACCTTCACAGAGTCTCAGTGGGAGAAAGAGACGAGGAGATTACTCTTTATATATCAGATGAAAGCACACCGTACTGCCCATGGGGATTTGGGAGCTCACTGGAAAGAAAATCAATCTCTTAGTCTTCATGTTTTAAATTTCCATGATCATAACTGATAAGGTTAGGTAAAGATGAATGGGGGATTTGCAGCAGACAAATCAAAGATCCGGGGAAGCCATCAAGCTGTCCTGGTTATGGTAGGTGGAATGCTGAGCTTTAAATATGGCTTCACAAATCCCTGATTGGGGTGCATCATGCATGAGCCTCTTCAGTTATGGAGGGGAGAGCTGGGTTAAACAGATACTCCATGGCCCTAACCAGTGCCCCATCTAGTGGGTAAAAGGGGAACAGCTACAATATGTGGCGGGAGAACCAGCCCAAAGATGGCTTTTTGGGCTGCATCTATTTTTAACTTAAATGCAGAATGGCAGAACATAGAAATGCTGTCCTCTGTGCTAAGACACTTTACAGGTGATATTCTCCTTTTCACATTTCTCTCTCTTTTCTCTCTCATTTAGCATTTAATATTCTGAGGAAAAAATGGCTGGAGATTATTCTTTATTACCTGATCCGTCTGTCTTTTATGTATTTTCTAATATGTGTTATGGCTTAGATTACTGATAGGTAGAAGTCTATCGTAAATAACATATAAAAAAGGCATGACTTATTATTCACAGAATAAAATCCTATGTAAACACAATAATTTTTGTGTTTTCTGCAAATGATCTATTACTGATTTGAAGAAAAAAAGAATCATAGAATCAGCAATGTTTTCTCTCAGTACTTATTTCATTCCAAGGGAGCTGGAACAAAAAGACAACTAAGCCAGTGACAGCCGTCTAGATCTGAAACAGTTTTGATTAAAAAAGCTATTTTATACATCTGAATTAGAAAAATTAAAATGAAAAAAATGTGTTTGTCAATACTTCATCTTGTTTCTCTTAAAGCAGGGGTGTCAAACTTGTTCCAGAAAGGGCCAATGACTGGAGTCTGGTGTGCTATTGCTTGGTTGGAAAGAAAACCTGCAGCCACTCGGCCCTTTCTGGAACCAGTTTGACACCCCTGTCTTAAAGTATACCATATAAAAAAGATATAGCAATATCTCTACATCAAAACTGTATTACATACAGGTGCATCTAAATAGTTGAGTGAAACTTATATAGATATTCACAGTGGAATATATTTGGTAATTAGGATAATTATTGCTTGACTTTAATTGTGGCGCACCCAAAACAGGTGAAGCTGCTATCTTGGTAAATCGTAATATGGCAATGTTTTGTACGAATTGTTTATGTATGCATTGGGGATAAGATTGCTATCTACTGTTATATATTTATATATTATTGCTTTATATATTGTACACCACATCGAGGCTTGAACAAAACAATTAATGCATTGATATTTTGTGATGTATTTTGAATAAATAAACCAGATGCAATTTGGGAGAAAACACAGAAAGTTACCATGCCTGCAGTCTCCTTATATTTCATCTGTCTTTCAGGATATTTTAAATTTGTTACTACAGTCCCCTACTTGGGACCAGTGACATAAATAAACTATTCACTTTTTTCAAATTATTACAAAATTAAACAAAAAACAAAAAAAGGTATTATTTTATGCATCCAATCAACTTCAAAAAGTTCCCTATTATACTCAGTCAGTATTTGGTTGATAAGCTGGGCTGCAAGGTGGAGGTGAACAGGCCATGTGGGTAGTTATCAAGTATTCCTTTAAAACCAGACCTATGCATTGTTTGGCTGGTTTCTTTAATAGATTTTTCAATCTATATTAAATATGTATTATTAACAAACAACAGTACTATTACAGTTTTTTTTTTTTTTTACAAACATTTGCCCATGTGCAATCTCTAACTGATTTTGTCACAAAGATAGGAGTAAAGAGATGGTGCAATGTTCTTTTGAATCACAAAGTCAGTCTTTCTTCTGTTTTATTGCTTCACATCTGATCCAGAGGCATCGCAAGAAAATGTTTATAAGGGTGGCCAGGCAATAACCAATCTACACTGAGGGTTGCCGAAAGGGGACAGGCGCCAGAACCTCAGGGTCAATCTACACTGTTCCAACGGGAAAATTAACAGGCAAAACATTCATATTTTCTAAATAAAGACAAACTATATTTTCCCACAGCCTTTGCTAACAAGTAGACGCATATATTTAAACATCCATGCTTTCTAGATAAAAGGTATAGCGGATAAAATTGTTTCAGTTTTGAGATCTGGGGCGTAAATCTTTTCCATCGTCATTACTTACCTACTTGTATCAATAATCATTCTGCTTAAAATTGATATTTACAAGCATCTACCTAAATTATTTGATAGGTTTTTATTAAAATTGTTATTTATCTTTGATTTCACTGAAGAGATGAATTGCAGAGACACATTCTCTCTTTACCCCATATAACACAAAATCTAGTTCTGACAAGAGCATGAATTCTGTATTTATCATCTTTGATGTTAGTATATTGATGTGTATAATTAACCACAAAAAAATTTAATGTTTTGAATATTCCACTGCTGCCACCATCTGTATTAGGGAAAAAATGGTAGGAGTGGCCACAAGGGTGGCCAATTATTGGGTAAGGGTGGCCATGGCCACCCCTGGCCCCCCATCTAGCTCCGCCCCTGACTTAAATGTTTTTCTATTTTATATATTTTATTTTTGCAAATACGTTTTACCAAATAAATAAAAAAGAAGTCAAACTTTTAAAAATGGAAACTGTAATTTTTAAAAATATTTTTAATAAGTTTTTCTTCATTGTTCCATTTCTCGAAATGTTTTTTTCTTCCAAATGGAACTTCATCAATAAGCTTTTAAGTATAATCTAACAAAATGCATGTGTGGCGTGACTGGCTGCATCAGCTTCCCTCTCCACGTCACTACTTCCTGTCACAAAGCTGATGCCTAATCAATCAATTAATCAGGCTCGTTAAGGCGCCGCGCTGCGCTGCGCTGTGGTCCTTCTGTGCTCCACCACCAGCGGCCTAATTGGTTGTTAACCAAACTTTATTGGCTCGCCGGGGATGTTGTGTGATAATATGGAGGAGGACTGCGATTTAGCTGAAGATTTCGGTGAGGACAATCAAGCTAATTGTTTTATTATTAAATTGGCTCGTTTGTGGCATTTTCAAGTGCGGCTTTTCAGGGCAACAGTCACTTGCTTTCTTTTATAAAAAACAAACAAAACTAAAATTTAATAGGAGTTATTAAAGTAATATGTTATGTGACGGTATAGATGTTAACATGTCCGACCCGGTGTTTGGACGTAGGGACATTGTAGCAGGTTTAGCAGCAGCAGCAGCTAGCAGTTTGAAGTTAATTAAGGGCAGGTGAGGCGGCACGCGGCACTGCGCACCTGGGAGCGGACTCTGATTGATGCAGCCGTCAGGTCCTCCTTAGATAGAGCAGTCACACTAAATGCAGTCTTCAAGGGCTGTGACCAATCAGGGACAGGCTTTTATATATATATATATATATATATATATATATATATATATATATATATATATATATATATATATATAGATATATATAGATATAGATATATATAGATATATATAGATATAGATATATATAGATATAGATATATAGATATATATATCTATATATATATATAGATATATATATAAAACCTTGAATGGTTTACTGTGTGGTGTGGCCTTAACAGCAGGGGTGGATTTACCATTAGGCAAAACTAGGGCAGTTGACAAGGGCCCCAAGACCCCATAAAACCCCTTTTCAACATATGGTTAATACAGCTATTACTTATTTGTACATGTTTTAAAAATCCCTTAGTTAAAATTCCATCAGAATGCCAATAATAAGTGTGTCTCAGGCACAGGTGTATTCAGCAACTTATCAGTAGTGGTGTCAAAAGTATACACATGTGTTAAGTAAAAGAATAGATACTGCAGTTTAAATAAACTGGTCAAAGTTGAAGTATCAACCTGACCTCCATACTCAAGTAAAAGTGAAAAAGTATACACTCCAAAAACTACTTAAAGTATAAAAATATAAAGTAACCTTTAAAAAAAAACAGGCAGATGCCACTAGATGAATTAAAAGCTCAATTTTTAGACTATTTCTAAAAATTCTTTGAGATAGAGCCAAGGATGAGGGAGGTCTTGGTCTCCGTCTCCATTTCCCAATACGCTCTCACCTGTAACCGACCTTTCAGACATTTCAACATCTTTTTCTGAATCCTACATTGTAGCATGGCATAGACAATTTACGTTTGCAGTTTGAAGAACACCTGCTTGCTTCTGATGATTTCCTTTTGCTTACCAATGAGTGTTTGCATTATATGGCTCATCTAATTACACACATGATTTGCATTGGATGGCACATATGACTTGAAATAAACATTAATAAACATAAAAGCGGAGCCAAGAGTAACGAGTAATGTTTGCTTTTAAAATGTAAGCAACAGAAAGTACAGATGCTATGGAATGGAGTAAAGTATAGATACCTAAAAAGTGTACTTAAGTACAGTAACACAGTATTTGTAGTTCGTTACTTGACACCTCTGCTTTTCAGTTACCTCTAGCTCTTTTATTTCAAAAAAGCACATAGAGCCAAATGACTTTTTCTGCTACTGGAGACTGGCAACAAGATATAAAAGCAGCAAACACTGCTCTCCAGAGCAGGTAGATTGGTAACCTGCCTCCTGCTCTCCTCTATCTTGTCTGCTGTCAGGATTCATGTATGAAATGAAAAATGGAGAACAGATTAGCAGATCATGGCTTGTCTACAGTGAAAAGAAGGACTGTGTTATTTTCTTTTGCTGTCTGCTTTTTGGAAACACAGGAAGGAGCAATCGGTTAAGTGAGCTTAGTTTCATTCCCTTTGAGACAGCATGAAAAGTCAGCTGAGTACAAAACGTAGAGAAGAAAAGGGACAAGAAGAGAGGGGAAAAAACGTAGAACAAATAATGTATGTCTATTATATAATAATTTCTGTATCTGCATAATAGGTGTGTTTTATGTGTTGTCTCAATTCAGAGGGCCCCATGCCAGTCTTTGCCTAGGGCCCCAAATTGCCTAAATCCGCCCCTGCTTAACAGCATGGCTCTTAAGTGTGCACACCCTTGTTATGTGCAAGAGACCATGCAGAAAAATAGATAAATGATATAGTCCCCTTTAAGTATGGCACAAAAAAATAATAATAAAATTTCTTTTTACTCCATCCATCGTGAGTAACTTCGCTTATTGAAAATAAACAAATATGCACCAGAGACACTTTATTGGTTAAATGTTATTTTCCATCTGCTGAATCTGCCGTGTCAGTTTGTGGTTGAGTGGAAATACAGTAAACAGTTTACTGTAATTAAACCTATTCTACATACTGTAACTATTGTTTTTGTAGGTTTTATAATTCAAAAAATGTATTTTGAAGAGGGGTCATTACACCAAATTCTTTAATGCGTTATTAGTTTATGTTATGTTTATTTCCATAATGTAAAACACCAGAATTTGCATATCGCTGAATATTTTGTTCAATTATACATCCTTTTGTAAGAAAAAATTTTAGTAATGGATTAATCATTAACTGGAATATTTAGACTGTAAAACATGCCTTTACCTGACAGTGTGACGCACTATGAGTGGTAATTATACCAAAATTGTGAGAAAAAAAAAACAATTACTGGTATGAACATTTTGCATTTAAGATTAAAAAAAAAGATTGTCTGTGAATATGCTCTACCTAGAACTCTTCAAGGGGAAAAGTTTGTTTCACCTGGTTTCATTTAGTAAAAAGTCATCTTTAAGGAACATTTGGCCATCCGATTATTAACTGAAAAGAAATTAACGAATTCAAAGATTTGCAAAATAATTGTTAGTTGCAGCCCTGAGTAGCCTTTTTACCAAAAAAGTTTTTACACTTACCTGTGTAATTTCTTTGAAGTCTACTTTTTACATTTACTTGAGTAAAATATAATGAAGTAGTGGTAATCTTAAGTCGTTATTCTGATACTGCCGACAATGCTGACTACAGAATCGGAAAGTTTAGGAGTCCAGGCAGTGATCGATACCCTGTAATTTAAAATAGGAATTAAAATAGGGATCTATTTACTGGTTAGTTAATTAGTTCTGTCACAATTCTTCTTTGAAACATCGTTACGGTTTATCAATACTCTTTAGTGCAATATCTTTGGCGGGATACTCTACCCACCCCTGCTTAAATCAATAATCTGAAACTTGTAAATTTGGCTTTGAGTTTGTTGGGGTAGAAGTGTAACAGCATGTCACGTTTTGACTAGATAATTAATTGTTCGACCACACAACATGTAGAGTTGCCTGGGGAGCGGCAGCCTAGTGGTTAGGCTATAGGGCTTGGAATCCTGAGGTTCTGAGTTCGTCCTCATCCCTAAGGGGATGCTTTTAAATGCAGAACGTTAATTTCCTTGCTCTATACTTAATGACAATGACAATAAAAGCTGGTAAAAGTGGACATCTGTTGTCCACTGTCCTTTTTAAGGCGGCTCCACTGATTTTTCTGTTTATTTTGTTGTTTTTTTTAGGTCTGGATTTGTTAAGGCATTACTAAAATATTTAAATTAAATAAATAAATACTATACCTTAAACAGAAACACTGACTATTCCCACTGCATATTATTTATAAGAATTAATGAAAGGACTATATAAGACTGAAAGCTGTCATTAAATCATTTAGTGTTCCTTCAAATTTTACAGGATATTTAATATGCCGCATCAGCACTGAAAAATCTTTGTAAATGATTTATCGTTTGGAGAAAAAAAGAAAACTTGCCTGGAATTGTAATTTTGTTCTGTATGCCTTTGAGCATCACTGAAATTAATATTACATTAACAAAAACGGATAAAGTGTTAAAGAATCGGGGAAAAGGAAAAAAGTTGCAAGTGTTGCTTTTTATTATTTAGTTATGCTTGAAGCAGTACAATACATCCTAAAGCTCTGCAAATGCTTTACTATGATGTGTGGTATGTATGTGTGTATGTATATATATATATATATATATATATATATATATATACATATCAGAGTTTGTAATTAATTGTAGTGAAATGTAAAATTGTCTATAAATACTTTTGCAGGTCACTTTGGGTTAACTTATTGAGCCATATGGTGAAAATATTTTGCTAAGCAGTGCAGTCAGAGTATCTCTGCATCCTCAATGCTATTAGGGATTTGTTCAGCACTGCTTTATTGGTAATTTTATTGTTGTCAAACACATTTCAAAGTTTGCAATCTTGCCTTATTTCCGGATTGTCTTCCCTTTGATAAAATAGGTTAAAAAAAAAACTTTGTTAGGGTGTCCAGGCATGACATTCCAGATGCATTTCTTTAGAAAAAGAGGAAGATGTTGCACTGTTAGGAAGATGCTGATGAGGAAAACATTGCTGAACAAAATGAGTTAATAAGCTTTGTCCTGTTTTACTTATCATCTTTATATTAAAGTTTAGTTATAAATTAATTCAAATGTGGAAAAAAGTTTCAAATGCTCTTATTTTTACATGTCCCAGACTGTTCGAGCCTGCTGTGTGAGGAACTGGAAGATTTGGATACAAAGGACTCTACAGAGAAGACGAGCAAGAGGAGGGAAGAAGATGATGAGAAATTGTTAAGTCAGAGGGATAATGAAGAGAAAGGAGAGGAAACGAAGCATGAAGAGAGGAACGAGGGGGAGGACATTGAGGAAAATAAAGTTGTTGTGTCAGAAAATGAGCTGATGGAGAAGGAGGAAGCAATGCACGTGAAGCCTGAGAGTAGGCAGGAGGAGGAGGAGGAAGCACAGGATGTTCAGATGGAAGATAAAGATGCCAAGACTGTCAACAAAACAGTTTCTGGTAAGCGAGAAAGTAAATGTAAGAAGGTTATAGAAAAGAAACCTGAGCCAAAAAAGAGCAGGAGGAGACGAGGCAGGAAGCAAAGTGAGCATGTGAGAACTAGGAAAGGAGAAAAGGAGGTTATCAATCAGAAGTTGGAGGAGGAGAAGAAAAGTCAGATGCAAGAAATCTCAGTGATGAGCTTGGAGGGGAACTCGGCTCAGACTGAGCCCTCTGTTGGCCTGGTGAACAACTGTGAGCTGTCTGATCCTGTTTTTCTGGGTATTGGGGCGACTGGGCTCTATTGCCCCCCGATTCCTGTTCCAGTCCTGTTCTCACCCCAGCCACCAGTCTCCATCCAGTCTGCAGAACTTCATTCCCACGGGACTAAAAGACTGCACAGCCCCTCTCAGTCGCACAGTCTCCCCCAGCAGCACTACCAGACTCTTCAGGTGAAGTATTGTTGCTATAATATCTCTTGCATATAAAAAAAAAAAGGAAATGGTATAAGATTTGGCGTTTTTAACAAAACCTGTTGGTTTGTGTGACTAAGTTGTACCGCGTCTAATAATTACCATCCTGAGTTTTAAATACTTCTGTGTAGCTGATTGGAAGCTAACAGGTGTTTAATAACTCATTTGCCATATATAATTACAGCCTAATGCGCATGAAATGATGCACACCTACAAACGTCTGCGTTATTAATGAAGCACCTGGGAAAATCGCATTTGGATATTAAAGCTCAATTTGAAGGTGTGAAGTTATCATTTGGTGATGGAGCTTCACTGAAGCTTATAACAGGCATGTGCAAAATCATATTGTTATTTTCTCAGACTGTACAGCAGCACCTCCACCATGAAATCTGTTTTCTTTATTCAGGGTCACAAGCCACAAGAATATTTTATTTTTTTTAAACATTATTTCAGGATTGAAAAGCTCTTTCCTATCATTGATCAAATGTAACAATGGGTGATGGTTACTTAAAATGTTATCAGTTTTTTAGTATAGCTATTGCAGTGATGATCAAATATTAAATATATTAATCTTTTTTAATATATCGGATAGGGTGAGTAGGCCTCACTGTGGCGCTCTTTTGGAGAGATTGAGGAACTTGATCACCACAGACAGCCAGAGACTCCTTCACACTCCTTCAAACTGCCGCCATACCTCACAATGTCAAGGACTAGTAGAAAAAAATCTTAAATCCAGATTGTGATTCAGATCATTACCATAATTAAACAGGATCTAAGTTAAACAAGGACACACCTGTGATATAAAACTCAGAGCAATCTGTCACTGACTTTTTCTGCAATCTTGCTAACCAACAAACTACAAAACAATATTACTGAAACATTACCTCCTGGTGGAGGTAGTTGGTTCAGGATTCATTGATCCTCCTATGGAAACAATAGAGGTAAAATAGTTTAAACAAAAGGTAAACATTATTATGTGCAGAATTAAATTTACCAAGGACTGCTTGGATGCTATATTTGGTATATTATAACTCATTCTATATATTTAGCCAGGAACTCTAACCTTAAGGAACACACCAGATGTGTATCCTTGGGCCTTTGACTCATCGAGTTCTAGTATCCTGCAAAAATTACGTCTCTCTGCTTCAGCACACCTGAGTCAAATGAGCCTGTCATTAAGCAGGACTCTGGAGAACTTGGCTCAATCCAGATAGAGCAGATCAGAACACGGAGCTCTTCATCCTTCACCTATCATCAGTTACTGGACTGATGTATAGAAACCGTCCCATAACGCAGTGGAAATGTACATGGATGATGCTTTTCAGATTGAGGCCTACAGCCTTCCAAAAGAGAACTACAAACATATGCAAATTGCACAAATGAAGATAATGGCTAAAACCCTAAAAATTTTTAAATGTATGCCCTCTGAAATGCTATTTCTTACATTTTGAGGTTGAATTTCATAAGGAAGATATAAAATGATTTTTAGGTACAATATTATGTTTCATAGGTTAATTCAAACAATCAGAAAGTGTAACTTAAACGTACTGCTAAAGGTGAAACTTGATTGTTTCATATACAAGTCGAACGATGAAGAACAGAAACAGTCTTCAACACAATCTGCAAAAAAGTGCCAGGACGGCTTTTATTTCAGTGTATTTACAGCTGACACTGAAACTAATCTCAAACTTGATTCTCACATTTTCATATATCTTAGTACATTTTTTAAATGTAAGGTGTTACACAAGCAGGTGTGTTGCGCCGTAGGGCAGTTATACCAGTTGTTAATGTCCAAAGGGCAAGCCTGTTTGCAAGTGTCACAGAGTTGACATTTATGTTTTGTAATTTCTGTAAGGATTGTGGTATTCCTTATAGTGGAACCAGAGAGGAATGTTGTGAACTTCTTATGCTATGATAGGAAACATGAAGGCTCCTTTCCCTGTTTCCTTCTTTACTGCCAGCACCATTTGGGCAGCACTGATTGGCTTTGGCTTAAGAGTCCTGACCAACTTGATATATTCACACATTGTCAGAAAATGTCTGAAGAGCGTGCATTAATCATAATACTTGGGCTGCAACTAAGGATTATTATACAAATTGATTAATCTGTCCACTATTTTTTCTATTAATCAATTAATAATCGGATAGCTTAAGGTATCTTAAAGAAGATTTTTTACTAAATTAAACCAGGTGAAACTAAAACTTTTCCACTTGAGGAGTTCTGCATGGAGCATTTTGAAAGACAAAAGTTTTTTATTTTTATATATATATATATATATATATATATATATATATATAATTTTTTTTTTACAATTTTGATATAATTACTGCTCTAAGTTTATATTTCAGTTAAATGCATATTTTACAGTCTCTATACTATTGATTAAAATAATTGATTAATCAGATTTCTGCCTGTTTCTGCCCTATATAATACCATTGCTAGTTTTACAAGCTGAGTCCCAAATTAAACAAACAGCTTTTGAAATGTACTAAATTAAATCAGTGTTTATCACATGAAAACTGACACTTCTGCAATGTCCTGCTATATGACATATAAGCAGAAAAACCATAAACATTCACTGTATCTAGACCTGAGCTCATACTTATTCAGTACAAGCATGTCTACCTCAGGATTGGATTTATTGTGAAAATGCAAATCTTTTTTTTTTTTTTTTAAAGTGCAAATCTTTTATTTATAATTTTTTTTGTCAAACCAATTCCAATTTGTTTATAATTAATATTTACTTTTTATTATTGTGAAGCATGTGGGATAACATGTGGTCTTAGAATTTTAATATGGCTCTAACTTAAATTTGAAAATGACATGTTTCTATTTTTTTTAAATTAATGGCAGTTCTAAAAAAACAATCTATTGGAGCACCTGACTTTATTTTTAACCATTTAACAAATCTGTACTTTTTTATATTTATAAAAAACTCAGTCCCCAGTTTGTCTGCTAATTAGGCTGATTTATATTTGATTGGGCTCTGGACATGAGCCAGGCAAAGAGGGATAAATGAGCTTTAAGTCTAGTAACATCCATCAATCCTGTCTCTTTATGCATTTCAGGTTGACATTAATGTGCCTTGCTGGAAAGAGAGACAGAGCTGTGAGCACTGAATATCTGCTTAAGTGTGAAGGCCTGTCTGTCACAAGTTTTTAAGTGTTAAGAGCTGGTTTTAGAAAATATTGGATTTTCAGTGGTTAGTTGTCAAAAGATGCACAACTTTGGCCACCAGGCACGTCATCAGTTCACTTTTAATTTGTTTTAGCTGAATTCTTTAAATCCAAGTGTACAAAGCTTCATTTCTTATATCCCTTGATGTAGGGATTGTCTTAGTCAAATCATAAGCAAGCAGCCAACACTCAAAATTAATTGCTTGCTCCTTGAGGTCCTGAGCCAACTTCTATTGTTAGACTTACCGCTGCATTGCCTTCAGTGGGTTGTAATGTTCAACAGCACTAAACCTTCAAATAATTTAAGCACTTTCTAGTTTCTAAGTGATTTGTTTTTCTAGACCAGACCCCCGTCCCTACTGGTTTTTGCTAGTTCAATGTTTAAAGCATGTCAGCTCTATATTTGTCATATTTTGAATTCATTCTGTAAAGTTAGGATTAAAAGTATTGATGACCTTGGAAATGGACATTTCGGCATGGAAAAGTAATATTTTTTTTTTACATGGAATGTGTGTATAACATGCTTTCTAAAAATAAGGAAATACAGATATATAAGCTCAAGAACTTAGAATATGACAGAGTTTGGTCTTGATATAAAGGCTGATTTTAAAATGGTTGCAGATGGAGATGACTCAAGTGGAATCCACTCGACGATCTGTCCGACATGGCAACAGGGGCCGAGGTCGGTTGCTCAGCTTTGCTTTGGCACAAGGGTCTGAGAAGGTGGACGGCTGCCCCCTACAACCTGCCCCAAGGAAAAAGACACGGACTCTCTACAGCACAGGTGGACCAAGTCTGGTTTTGGATTCAGTCACTCAGAAAATTGTACCCACCTTTGGTAAAGTAGGGTATATGATGGAATAATTTCAGATTTATTTTTAAATTATTATTAATTTTCAGATTTTTCTTATTTTTTTCTGCACTTTCCTAGCCTGTAGAGATTCTCTCCAGGGTTTCATTGTATTCATGATCTTAAAAGCTTGCTTGTGCAGAGTCCATTGTTGCAGGACTTTACTGTTACTGTGGCCTTGAAAAGTGCTTATTGTACTTGCATATTGTAAAGATGCAGGCATCCAGTATTACTTCCATAAATAGTGCACTGCTGTGTGTGTGTGGCGTTAAAATTCTCCCTCTGTACATATGTGTTGCTTTGGGTTTTTTGAACTATTCATACCTAATCCTGATGGTGTTTGCCTGTAGACAGGGTTGTAACAATTAATCAAATCAACCATGATCAATTAATCAATTATTGAAATAATTGTCAACTAATTTAATAACTGATTAATCGTTAACTTGAGTATAGAGACTCTTAAAACACGCCTTTAGCTGATAGAAAAACCCACCTATATCAGTAAATGTACTTTTTGTCCGTGCTATCCAGAACTCCACAAGTGGGAAAGTTTTGCTTTCTCTTGGTTTAATCCTGTAAAAAAATGTCTTCCTTTTGGAACCTTTTGCTATCAAATCATTAATCAAAAATAAAAATCAAGAGATTTATCGATTGGCAGAACAATCTTTAGTTGCTGCCCTAAAATAGATGATGATATAACTGATCACAAGAAAAATAAATTCTGAATATTTTGTTAATTATTGTTGTCATTGTTTCTGTTATTATTATAATCAGTTAATTTTTATTTAACAATTATTACATGTGCTGGTCTTTCATATGAAATCATTGTTTAAGATGATTTTCTGATAAAGTCTAATTAGAAAATACAAAAACATTCAAGTCCTAAACCCTTTTTGAGGTCCACTGTTTGAGCTCATGCTGAAGTGCTTGTCAATTAGCTGATATGTCCTTGCTTGGGAGTTTCAGACCAGCTGGGACGTTTAGAGGCCATGTTCCAGGAGGATCACTATCCTGATGCAGAGAAGAGGAAAATTATTGCTGCGTCAGTTGGGGTCACTCCTCAGAGAATTATGGTCAGACCATCTTATCTTCTTTTGGTATCCAAAAACTCTAGTTAAAACATCCATTATGTTATCTACCTATTACAAACAAGAACAGATCATTAAAGCACAGAAAACGTTTCTCTTTATTGTGTTATAGCAACACTTGCCATCCTGTTCTAGTCATTTTCCATGTTTACATCAGGCTTTCCCTGAAATTCATTGAATCCCATTCTTCTCCATGTTTCTGTTTTTCGTTAGGTTTGGTTTCAGAACCGCAGGGCAAAGTGGAGAAAAGGGAATTCAATTACAGCAAAGGCTGAACCGGCACTGAGTAGAGCTGAATACAGTTTGAATAGTCCAAATCATAAAATCGATTCCCAATTAACCATGCTGACAACCACCAGGTACTCCAGGAAGAGCTCAAAGTGCCATAAATTGTATTTTAGGTCATTTCTTGTGAAGCTCATTAAATATGGTGCTTTTTTTTCGGTTTAGGAAAGGAGTGCCTCCTTTTTCTGGTCACCTTACTGCTTCACTGCCACAGATTGTCACTGCAGCTGCTTTTCCCACCATGTCCACGCAGACCACACCCTCCTATAGTAAGCTAGTGGACAGCATTAACAGCCCAGGTATGTAAACATCTACTAATAAAACATAATTGTTCATGTCTTCAGTAAGAATCTATTTTTAATGATTTATTTTCCTATTACATTTTATTTTTATTTATTTTTTCAATTTAGATCAATCTATGCACCTTTAAAGTTCTTTAAATGTGGGTTTATTAATTCATGATTGGTTTCCAACCCAACTCTGACTGATTGTATTAAAAAATAACCTCTGTCCATTATTTTAGCCACCAGTTCCCAACAGTGTTTGACTTTATATATTTAATAAAATAATATTTTAAGCTGTTTTAGCTGCATTTTTAATTTTTTTAGGCAGGTGGTAAGAAACTGCATTACTCAAAGAAGGGAGTTTCTCTCTATTTTGCTTTTAAGGATAAGAAAATATTCCTCTTAAAAAGACGTCTAAAACCTGGTTAGGCTTTAGCTTCGAATATTTCATTGGTTGTTCATCTGCCGTATCACATCTTTAGGCTTTGTGCGGAGTAGCGATGTGGGGGTGTCCTCCCCCGATTTAGACTGAAACATTATTTCCTGTATTTTGAGGTTAAATGCTGCTAGCATTTTGTCTTGGTTACAACATTGCTATTGTCCTCATTATAGGAATTATGTGTGCTTGTCTAGAGGTGGAAATTTCACAAGGAAGAGATGAGATCATTTCTAGGTACAATATTATATTTCATAGGTTAATTAAATTGATGAGAAAATGTAACCTAAACTTACTGCTAAAACTGAAACTTGATTGTTACATAACAAAAACAAGTTGAACAACAATGACAAACTGAAGCCCTCTTCAACACGATCTGCAAATCCAACATAGGAAAAACTGCCAGGACTTTTATATAGGTGTATTTAAAGCTGACACTGTAAATGATCTGAAACTTGATTGTCACATTTTCATATATCGTAGTACATTTTGTCAATGTAAGCTGAAGTGTAATGCTATGTTCACACTGGACGCTCTTCAAGCAGCAGAAGCAGCCAGTTTCCAACTCCAGCAGATGCTGGTGTTGGAAAAATAAAGTTTTTACTGCTCGATGCGCCACATCAACCAATCAGAAAAGCTGACCTGGGAGCTGGCAGGGAGAGGGACAGTGCTGATGTTGTAATAGAAAAGCGGTCAGATAATTTATATTTTTAACTGCTTCTTTCTACTCTGTGTATGCTTATAATGCCGCTTATTTCCTTGTTAATGATAGCGATAATAATGATATACCCTTCAAGTCATTCAAGGACACTACACAATCAAAGACGGTAAAGAAATTTGAAATGTTGTTAAGATACATGGAGTATTATTTCTTTTTTTATTATTTTTTAGTCCTAAATATAATAAATAATAATTAATTATTATCACTGTATGTAATGCAGATGATGTATTTTTTTCATTTATTTTATCTTCCAGGTCAGGTTAGAAGAAGAGAAACAAGAAATTTTCCAGAGTATCATCACCCACGTCCCATGCAGAGTCCCCCCCCTCTGAGACGAGCCAGCCTTCCTCTGTTTCCTGCTATGTTTAACTCTGTAAGCCCCAATCCTTCTCTCCTCAACACCCCTGCCCAAACCCCACCTCTCTTCCTTGATGCTCTGGATGGCGATGCCTCTTTAGCCCATTATGACGCCCACTCTCAACAAAATGACACCAGGTGAGTTTAAAGTGGTAAGCTTCGTTGTGGGCACTAAAGATTACTTCAAATATAAAGAAATGCAGTAGCTGATGGGGAGACTGGCCGTAGGCAGAGAAAGATCCTGTATGTCGATGGCTCATGCAGAGTCAGTTGTAAGAGAGAGCCGGTGACAGCTGGTGGTCTGAGCATCTTCAGAAGTCACACAGTGAGGCTATTGTAGTTAATAAATTGGTTTGAATAAAATTATCTTTGTTTTACACCAGCTGGAGTTTCCACCGGTGAAATGGAAAACGGATACAAAAACCCACTTTTACATAAATGAAACCATCAATTGACCATAATTACAGATGTTGTAAGCACTTTGTAAAAAGAAAAAAAAAAAAAAAAAAAAGATGTAGAATTTTGAAAGTTCAAAATATGTTTTAATTGCAGCTTTGGGATATATATCGTTGCTTTAAATGAACACAAAAAAGATTATGCTGTTACCCGGAGTGGTGAGGGGAAACACTTTAGAGAAGAAGAATGAAGCTTGTCCAGTCTAACCCCAATGTTACCCACCAAGTTCTCAAAACTGTAGCTGCTGAGTTTCTTTGACTGATGCAATTTTAAGTTTAAGTCTTGCCGTGCTTTGTCGGCAGCACTGATATATGCATTTAAATTGGTTTATGTGTTTACTGTGATTGTCTTTAGCTTGCTCTATGAATTTGCGGAGAAGCTGAGCCAGCAGAGTGGCTCCATGTCGTATCAGCTTCAAAGCTCCTTTTCTACCAGCCAGCATCAGCCTCAAACATCTGTATCCCACATGGCCTACCTTACTCCATCGCCCTACCTTACACCCAACCCTCCAGATTCCAATCCTGCCTCCTACCTGACCTTTGGACCAGGGGGAAGCTCAGCTGGACTTGTTACATATTCTACAGGTGGTAACACCTACCTTCAGCCCCAGAGCACCGGACAGATCCTGCTACAGACAGCTGGTCGCCATGGTGAGGCGGAAATGAATGAAATCTAGCATTGAATATGCATGAATGTTTTGAAATTTTTTAAAGTTTAGCTGTGTCAAGCCTCCGAATCCTCACAGCTTTTAAATCACAAATAATGAAATCTAATTCAGTTCAGTTTTAATTCAAGAGCCACAGCTGGTGTTTGCTATTAATTCCTGCAAACAAAGTCAGTGTTGGCAAATTCCTGATGCTGTGATGGGTTGGTCCCTGTATCCTGGATAACCTACACATCTGTGAACACACTGAGATAGGGGTTGTAAAGCAGCATATGGTTCTACATCTGTAACCACTCTGAATAACCCAAGAGACAAAAATGTCCCGAGGAGGCTTTGGTTTCTTTCATGTTTTTATGCTTAAAAATAGGGCACATTACAAAACACTATCATTTCAGTGAGAAAAAAAGTTTATATATTTATCCGATCTATCCAACCTTTTTACTTTTATTTAACCATAAAAAACAATTATGTTAAAAATCTCCATCAGTTACTGAAAAACCTGAGTACATGATATGCTAATTTTACTCAGAGCTATTGTACAACATGAATCCTCTATCAGCAGGAGCATAGCCAACAGAAGACGGTGATGTTACTTCAGTGATAAACTCCCTTAAACAAAGGGTTTTATCTGCATTGGGAATAATAAGAAAAGGACTGGGGCATCATGATAGACAGTGCTCTGAGGCAGTTAAATGAAAACTGCTGCTCTGGATGTTCATTCTGTCAATTTAAAGCTAACTTTTAAAGTTTCCATTGTTTTTTCTTTTCCCTTTTACAGGTGGGATGACATATCAGTCATATCCATGGAGTAATATGTACAATCAGCCAGCCATCCACCAGCATAACCTATGCCCTCCCACATACTCAGCCTGCTTTGGATCTGTTCAAGACCGTCAGATCGCCTCTACCTCCAGCCTGCCTCTACATTCTGTATTCCAGGTTGGCGAGCATAACCCATCACTTCCTACCTCACAGCAGGCCGCGGAGGTCCAGCTACAGTCTGCCACCACTACCACCACCACCACCTCTATCCTCCCACCTGTGTCAACTCTGCCACCCTCCTGTACTGAGGGTCCATCACTGCTTCCCTCTCAGGTCAGATCCACGTCTCCTGAAAGCCCTCCAGCACCCTCTTGTGTCAAATTGGAGTATGACAGCCCTCGAGAGATTCACAGCCACTTCCAGTGTGATTTCTCCCCAATACATTTCTGAATCCCAGGTTTGAGTTTAATTTGTGTTTGAAGTGTGTGTGTAAATAATTTTTTGTTTCTTTGTATTACTGATAGAGACTTCTAACTGGGAAAGTTGTTATCTCCAGGCTCCATTTGGGCTGCATAAAGCTAAGCTTTAATAAATACAAATGGTGAGGTTCATTTTTTTACAGTTTCCAACTTCCTTTAAACTTTAAACAATAGCTTCTGACAAATGCTTATATCACAGATTTGTTTTGGACCATCATTGCACGACTTGTTTATTTTCTGTCGATGTGAGCAGTCATGCACGCTTTCTTGTTTTATCTTGAGCATCACGGACAAAAAATATCCTGATACTGTGCAAGAACACGGTAAATGGACAAGAAAGAAAGGTGTGAGCAAATATAAAAGGGAAACTTTATTTTGAATTGGAATTTTATTTGGATTCAAACATAAATGTTAGAATGTGTAATCTTTTAGTAAAAATACATAATCTATCGCGTGAGGCAAACTGATTGTAGAAAATAAGGTTATTTATTAAAGTAATGGCAATATCAAAACAAATGTCTAAATCATCTACATAATTGGAAAACCGCTTAATAACAAAATTTATTTTCTCATAAATGTGGAGCCTTTAACCTAGTGGATATGATCTTTAAATTGAATGATGTATGGACCAAGCTTTAGTCAGTACACATCAATCAGCCAACGGCTTACATCAAAACATATATGGATGAATCCCAATGGTTCACCTGGAATGCAAACAGCAAATGTTTCTTTTGAAAATTTACCTGGTCAAAAAAAATAAATCAGAGGTAAAAACTTATGAAGGGTGCCGCTTTAGACTGAAAGCTATGCATCAGTCTGGTTTTGCTGTTGAAGTTCATAAAACAGTATGAACTATAATGACTTTGTTCAGAAATTCAGGAAAATCTCCAACAAATCTTGGACTGAGAAGAGAGACTTACCCATAACCCTTTCATTTCTCTTTGTTGTCATCTGCAAGACCGTTTTGTCTATCATGTCGCTGCTTGGGTTCCACACTGGATGCATCATGTTTACAGGATGTATAAACAAGCTCTGCAGAATATTAAGGATGGTGGCAGGAAGCTATGCTCAGTTCTTCAACCTGCTGAGCTCATCAGGATCTGCATGCACAGGAATTAAGAATGTTCTACTGAGAAATCATCTTCTACAAAACATTTTATTTTAGACTAAAGCATCCTCTGACTACAATGGTTACTAAGAATTATTCGGCTAGAATGCAATAAACAAAGTACACAATAGTTAAGATAATCCTAAAACAAAAATGAAACAACTCTGTGTTTTTACTGTTTGTATTATCTGAATTATCTTATCCAAGTTCAATACATAATCCTACATTTAAAATTAGTCAGAAATCTTCATAAGAACACTCATGGTTTAATCAGGGGTGCTTGGGTAGGAACACTTCAAAGAGTTAAACAGTTAAGACACAATCTAAAGAAAAACCCCAAAAGCTCAGGGAATAGATTTTTTTTTTCTTGCATAAAGAAGGAAATGCAGAAGAAAAAAAAAGCAATAACCACAAATGTTCCTGGAGACACAACTGGAAGCAGAGCTCACAAGTGTAGAATTACAGGAACAATGGGTACATGGATGTGACAAAAAGGGGAAACTATCAACTGCTGCCTCACTGCAAAAGCCCTACAGCAGTACTTGGTGGCAGCAGACTCTGAGGTTTCAGTTTCCATAGTAACTAAGCATTGAAGGCCTCCATTCCTGATCTCCATTGGGGTTTATCCCTATCAAAAGAACCAGAACAGTTAGCTTCAGTTAGTTTATACATAATAAACAAACCAAAGATGATCTAAGATTATGTTCTGTGAAGCAGGGAATCAAAAGTAAATGTTTTCAGGCCTGCTGATCAATAGGTTTGGAGAAGAAAGATGGAAGCACATATGGAGGACGCCATGCCTACAGGAAAGCATGGTGGTGGCTCAGTGATTCTGTGGGGTAGGAAACATGCAACATGTGTGTGGAGGAGCAGAAAGTTGGACATTAAACCTTTTAACAGAAAATTATTTTAAACATGTATTAACTGTAGGCTTGGTTTCAGAAAAATATTGCCCATCATAAGCTGTATTTTCATCCTAATATATTGTTTAATATTAAAATTCCCTCTATATAAGTGAATTACTGGTTAATTTGACTTCAGCCGGCTTGCCAGCAGGTTCACCTGACGGTTTCCTAAAGAATATTTCCTGTTGGATTTGAAAGAAGCATCTGCAGCACAGAAACCATAAAGTATTAGATTTATGAAAGAGGGCCGCAGGAAAGTCAGAAGCTGCTGTTGAGACCGAAACCATTTTATGCTTTTCATCACATCCACAGGGTGCTTTGTTTAATGCTAAAGATGTTTGGGATTTAGCCATCAGTCAATAATGGTGGTATTTTGGAGAAGCCAATCATATTATTTGTGCTGAGGTATTTTTTTTTGTTTGACTTGATTATTGTTGCAAACATTTTGTATTCAGACCTAATTTGTAATGAGGTGGGGATATTTGCAGGTCACCTATATTTAAAACCGATTAAACACAAACGGAGCCAAAAATTTAGGTGGAGTTCAGAACTGCAGATTCCAGAGAAGTCAAATATCCACAGGTGCTGGAGTGTGAATGGAAGTCCGTTTGCTGTCGCCATAAAAATGTTCTAACCTAATGTTTAAATAGTCTTTATTATTGCTACCAACTGTTTTTTTTTTATCACAATACCACACTTTTATTTAACTTTCACTTGAACCTGAGGTATTTTCTACCAGCTTTTCAGGTGTCAGACTCTACAGATTTCTTGTCCTACCCTCTCAGACCAGTGTTGTTAAAGCTGGTGTGGCTGTTTGTTACTAAATTAGGTATTTAATTCTATAATTTTCTGTGCATTGAACAATATATTAAAAAGCATTTTGAAGCTAATCTGCTTCCTTATTCGTAATCCATCACATCCGCCTCCATACTGCAATCTTTATTCTGACTGATCAGTTCGATCTAAACATGTTTTTTATCCATCATTGGATGTGCATCATTCTTTCTAGCCAAGAAAAAATAATGCATAAAGTCATGAAACCGTTGCTGTCAACACATTGGTTGTGATATTAAACATTAATTTATTTCAGTAACTGATGTCAAAAAATTAACAATTTCAGTTTTCCAGGTAATAGGAATACTACATAAGACCAGTAGGATGTATAACGGTATAGTGGAGGATTTTCATGAAAATTTGAAAAGATCCGCCCCCTCCACTTAAAAGAAAAAAAAAAAAAAAAAAAACGCTCCCGAGAGGGAACGTCAGTTAAACACGTGCGACAGTATGCACAAGCTGATGAGCAATTTTTCCACAATGTCAGACTCACCACCAGCAAGTAAAAATGAGGTTGAGCATGTAGGACAGCCTTATGTAAACATATCCCCAGATTGATTGACAATTAGGAGGAACACTTATTTCGATGATGCACCCGGAAAAAGAAAATCCTCCACTATACCTTTAATATGATCAGGTCTAGGCAGAGAAGGCTGCTAACAATTCCTGCATTGCTAAATGATCCAAAGTCCTTGTTTTTTTTTTTTTTTTGAAAGGGATTCGAGGTCTAGGGTTAGTTCACCATATTGTCAAGCTGTTATATCTGTTGGTGTCGGTTCAATGTATTTAGTAAGTTCAAAGGTCAAATCCAACTACCAATAAACTGTCCCGACCAAAACTCTATGGAGAACCTGTGGTGAATTGTCAAGAGAAAGATGAGCCGTCAATGAATAAATTAGCCTAGGCTTCTTTTAATATATCAGCCTTACCAGACTTAGGTTGATACCACATTTTATAGTAAATATTGGAAAAAGGGCCGTGAACAAGTACTATAAATAATTATATTATTAAAAATGCTACTTTTTAAAATTGGTCTGTTATTGGAACATCTGAATGTTAGATTATGATTAGCTGTGAGCTCTAAGAAAGGCTTAGAATAAATACCTCCCTCTGTCAAATATATCAGTTTTAGTTTCATGTTTTTAGCTGATTTACTGAAACAATATATATATTTTTTAAGATTTATTCAAATATTTTAAAATTTAGCAATTTGTGAGAAATAGTATAAATGACCTTGGAGTATAACCTGACCCCACCAGTGGGCACTGCTAAGTCATGACCAAGGATCCCTGAGTCCATATTAGAAGCACATTTTTGAGACGTCTCGAGATGTGAGAGTTACTAATCTGATGAGGGAAAATATGGATTGCGCTGTCTTTAAAACAGAGGTATCCCAGACAATCATAGATATACAGGCCTGATCCTTAATCTGTGTTGCCATCTGCTGTGTTTGCACACTAACTGCACTTTCCGCTCTGTTTAATCTCAGTATGCAAGGCAGTAACAGGAGCATGTGGAAACAAAATCCCAGTATGAATCTCTGCCTCTGAAACAGCTGAAAACATTTTTCCTCAGACTGGAATGAGAAGGAAAAAAAAGAAAGAAAAACATTTGGGGAATAACGTGCCAGTTTTTCTCTCCCGGCAGTGCAACTAAAACAGAAAGTTTTTTGTTGTAACTCCACTTAATATTCTGTGTTCATAACTCTTGAATAACACGGAGCTTAGAAGATATAGGAGGAAAGAGAAGCGACTATTTGATGGGGAGGAGGGGTGGAGGTAGGGACCAAAGGGGAGTTCATGAAGGAGGAAGGGAGATGGCAGGAGAAAAAGCAGTGAGTTATCCTGCAGGGAGGTGAGCTGGGATGAGATGTTGCTAAGAGAGAGGAGGACGTTGGGTGGACTCTGCCAGCAGGCGTGGGAGGGAGACAAGGTGGGGGGGTGTATGTGTGTATGTGGAACACTGGGGTTCTGGGGATGAACAGAACTGTTGGTTATGTAAGAGCTGTTCTTTGGTTTTTAAATGAACCTCTCTCTTCCTGCATACTGGCTGCTGAGCTGTTATAGTTGGCAGCGGAGGAGCAGCAAAAACACCCAAATTCACAGATTCATAGAAATTTTGTCCTGTACCAAATCCAACACTCTGCTTTTCTTTGGAAATGAAGAAGAACTCTGTTCAGATGTTCTGCAGGGATGTTTTTTCATTAAGAATCTTATTTTACTGCAAAGTACAGTCTGACACACTAGGCTGCGCCCTCTCCGACTGCTTCATATTCATGTGTCATGTGATAGATGCAAGCTTCATATAATTCATTTTTCCAGGACTTCCCTGGAGGGAACAGAGGGAGCTCAGAGCACAGCTGTCTTTGAGGACGCGTGTGTGGGAGCACAGGTATGGGATGCTTCAGTCCAACACGCTCCCCACAGTGTCAATATTTGCATAGTATTCTGAGATTTGAAGAAAGGCAACTTGTTTCAGCATTTATAGATGTGGTTAAAAAAAATCCTCCCAGTTACAAACTCACATACAGGCTGAACCCCCCCCCTGCTCGGTTGAATCAAATACTAGGGTTTATTGATAGTGGTGGATGTATATTTATTTGTATAAGAGATTTAGAGCAAAGAAGTTGTGACTAGAAAAAAGGTAACAAACACCAAGAAATGTAAGAATAACGACAAATATTGAAAAATACCCAGTTGATGGTAAATATCTAAATGTACCTCTGGATAAAAATAATTTAAGCCACACATCACATTTATTTTCCCCATGCTGGTTTCCACTCTTACACAAACTGGCAGCACTATTGTGAGGAATATTTATTTGAAATCAAACTAACCAGGCTAGTTTGTCTTGGCAAAGAACAGGTGGAGCATTTCCATTTTCAGGAAAATAAACTGTAAATACTCAAAATTTGCTGAATAAAAGTAAATAAACAGGTGAGACAGCTGTCAGTTGATTGGTTTCTCAAACACGTTTCAGTGCTTTATAAAAATAATGGAACTGAATTACATCAAATCACTTCAAAAAAAAAAAACCCTAATATGTTTCGAAGTCATTTTATAAGCAACACTAAGTATCACACACATGTTAAGTAGAAGGAAATTTACATTTTTTTATGATCTGGTAAATACAAATCTGTGTGATGTCTATTGCTCCCTAATCCGCTATTACTATATTACCCCTTTATAAAATTCAGTGCAAATTATAATCTTTCAGTTTAGGAAACTTCATCATGAAGACACAGAAATAAGTAATAAATGGCTAAATGGATTTTGTCTTAACTAAAAATGCTTCAAACCTTTTAAGACTAGAAACTGGAGTAGCTGCACTAATCCACATTTTGGATATGTTTTTTTTTTTTTTTTATAGAAAAAGGGACAAGGGGAAAGGCATTGTTAAAAGAAAACCTATTGGATGTTGAATTTGCAGTTTACCACGAACCATGTAGAGGACACATCAATATATGAAGGAAGGAGCCATATGCTCACTGCTAAATAAGATGGTGGCAGCATCATGCTTTGGAGGTGCTTTTCTTGAGCTTTTATTCATTAAACATCCATATTGCTTAATTTAACCATAGATCATCTTATTTCTGTCTTTCTGTAGCCTGAAAATGTTTACCAGCTCAGGTTTGTTTATATTTTCATTAATACAGATTATGTAGTCTTGATTTAAATAATCTTTAACAAGTTGACATAAAATCTACTGCTTTGAACAGTCAGTTTGTGCATTTTATACTGTTTACAACAATTAATCTCACATTGGAAAAATGTACCTCTGAGAAGCAGTCTGGGGTTAAGGGTCTGGCTCAAGGACCCTGAATGGAAACCTGTGGGGCTCAAACTTGGAACCTCATGATTCAAAGCTCTACGCACTGACCCCTAGGCGGCCACCTCCACTTGCTTCTGTGTGTTTCCGAAAGAAAAGAATGAAGTACTGCCTGAACTCCTGTATTTATAGCTTCTCATACAATGTGGAGGTGATGAAGAAAAAGTGTTGCAATTTAATAAAGTCCATTTGTCTTTATTCCTCTAGGTTTTGTATGTCAATATCTAATGTATTGGCTATACTTAATGGTTTGCTTAGTGCTGGTATAAAGTAGCATCACTAAGCTGATGCCAGAGCTGCCATAAGAGTGTAGCTATTGTGTTGGTTTATGGGTAAACACAGCAATGAAGCTAAAATTGAAATATTATATTAAATAAAGATAATATTAAAGCAAAACAAGGCTAAAATTATGCAAAAGAATAAAATAAATCTAAAAATCCCTCGTGTCAAGCAGGTAAACCACCGACCAAAAATAAGTCCTCTTAATTCTTTAAGTTCACAATTGTGCTTGGAGACTCTCTAAATTCTAGTGACTCTGGTGTGCTACAACGTGCTTTATTTCTTCTCATACTTAATGCCTGTTTGAATAAAATAAAATGTTATCCTTTATTGTCACTTACACATTTCTTCAAGGTTCAGTTTAAGATGTTATTTTAGCAAATATTCAGAACCTAAGAACAAGCACAACACTAACTCAGGAAAAAAGTGTATAATTATTTTTTTTCAAGACTACAAGGTGACTCGCATCCAACTTTCAATATTAATCAAAGTTGAGAGGAACTAATATTAGCTTAGCAATATTTACTATAGGATTATGTTTAAAGATTATGTTCACCAACATAATCCTGGAGTTTGGAAAGTTACAGGTCCCAATGTTTACAGGACAAGTTTTTATGCTTTCAGTCTGAACCAAAAACCAGCCAGTGCCTCCAAGTTGGCAGGTAGCATAAAAGTATGTCAATCAGCTTAATCCGAAAAACAATTCTGACATTTTACAAATAATTAAAGTTTTTATCTTAATTATCTTCTGTTACTTGTATTGGTAAAGGAGTCTTGCACTGTTGCCATCAGTCCATATGGAAATTAAGAGTCATTTATTTACTAATTTCCTACCTAAATAATGTGGATTTCTTTGTTTTTGGTTAATGTTTGCTTTAAATCAAACATTAACACAGATTATTAGATTATTTAAAATTTCAGTTGTTCTTGCTCACTCTTTTAACAAAAAACACTTTTAATCTTTTAAAACTTTCAAAAGTAATATTACTCTGACAAACACTCTGACATTCTGACATCTCTTCAAAATGGTCTAAGACGTAAAATTCAAAGTTTAGGACTGTGACTCAAAACTTTCATATTTTACTTGGAAGTGGACTCAACACTATTAGGAAGACATGGCTTACATGTTATGGTCAGAAAGCCTGCAGAGAGACGCTGGATTCAGGAATATAATCCTGCAGCCACATTTCGGTAAAACACATAATGCTGCATTGCTCTGAGTTCTTGTTTCCTAAAGATCTCGCATTGCCCATAATGATTGATGGAAGAGAGGGCTTAAATTATGAGCTCCTCACTCTTCTCCTTGCTCCCGCTCTGCATCCCTGTGGCCATCGTTTAGACTCAGGTGGTGCTTGCGGATGTAGCTGATGTGTCATTTCAGCTTTAGAGATGATAATAAGCTGCTCCCAGGTGTAAAAAGGTCAACTTGCTATGGTTGCTACAGCTAAGCATCATAATAAGTCAGAAACTCACAAATCTTCAAAAAGAACATCAAAACCAACCTAGCAGAGCAGCTACAAAGTACCGCCAACTTAATCAGTGCAAATCTAGAATAGAGTTCTAGATAAGAACTCTGTAGGTCTTCAGCATCTTTTGCAAAGTTATTTTTTTAATGAATAAAAGTTTATGAATGGGCCTGTAGTCATTTGGCTTGGATGAGCCTAAGCTGGATTACTTTAAACGTTTGACAGCACAAGAAACGAGGATAGAGCTGGTTTAAAGGTGTATATTAGTAATATCCATCATGCAGGGGAGCATAAGACAAAACACATTTATATGCAAACCACATTTCCGTAAGAGAGAATCTCAAACTACTTTACAAGCAGACGGAAATATGATAAAAACATAGGATAAACATGTAGAAACAAAGAGAATTAAATTATTATTCATTAGATGGATCAACAGACCAAATATTACCTGTTTTTTAATAAACGATTAACTTATAGATTAAAAATGGGATTACCTGTAACACAGTTTTTGGATATAAAATTCTTAAATGAATAAAAATGAAATGAAATTGGACTTCATCTGGTACGTGAGGTTCAGTTCACTCTGCCAGGATGACAAAATGACATAATATCAGTGTTTGAGTGTGCTCTCCTTCCCGCTTTTTCTATGTTTGTACACATTGATATGTGTAATTCCGTTTAAGGAAAATAAAAATAAACATATCAAAAAAGACCTTCCCCAAAGATGACATGAAGTTCCAGAAAAACATGTAGCCTATTTAATTCTGAACCCGTAACCACGAATAACACGTACCATTTCCAGTTAACCCTGGTGCTCATTCAGGAGAAAACCTCTCCAGGTAAATACTGTACTGTACAATCCTCCCCTCTGAATTGTGGCTTGTTTAGGGTGCGTGTTGGATGGATGGATAGAGGTGCATGTGTGTGTGATGGAGGGGGGGTTACGGAGGAATGCAAGGTGGAGAGGGTTGAGAAGAGCTGGGCGTTGAAGGGAAAAGAAGGGGTCTCTGTTTTCGATTAGGAAGATTAAAGAAGTGTGTATGAGCTTTTTGATGAAAGTGTGTTTTTATGGTATGTTTGCACCGCTGGGGCCCTGATACTTCACGGGAGCCTGATGGAGAAGCAAATGAGGGGCTAAAAAAAAGTTTTATCTCTACTCCCTGGGTTTTTTAACCTTTTTCTGTAGATCTTAATTGGTACAACAGATTTAGAAAATGAAAAGACAAATAACAATTCTCAAAATGTGGCCTATGGCTTACTGTACTGAGCAGCCAGGAAATGGCTTGTACGTTTGAATTTCAGCAGAAACTCACCCACATGTCCCATCATGGAGAACGGCAGGAACACTGCAGGCTGTGTGTGATGGCTCCCGTTCACTTCCGCCCCACAAATGTGTGTTTGCTGTATGAGAGAACATGGGGAGAAAAGAGGAATTCATGTTGATGTTTATTTGAGGTTTGCCAAATCCAGCATGGAGCTGCAGAACTGGCCTTCACGTTTTACTCCGAACCCCAGTCGGTCCTGCACCCCCAGCCAGACACACAGCTCCTACTTTACACACGCCTACCTGAACATCTTAGCCAAGGTGTATTTGTGTTTCCTTGCTCACCGTTTAGGTCCTCCCTGTGCAGGTATTTCCCTTCCTTTCCCACAGACACAAACACACACGAACCCATGCTGTAGTTGTGGAGGAGGGGGTGCTTTTTGTGGGCAGTGTGTATGAAGCTCTTGCATTGATAACCTGCAGCTCAGCCTCACTTCGTCTCACTTTGTGGCTGTCCTCATCACCTTGAACATCCTCCGGCTCGCTCTGTCTCCTTTCTGCTTCTAACTGCTGGACCGTCTGTGGCTGCGCTCGGACCCCCTGCCTTTAGCTGTCACCATGACACCCACTGCGCCGCTTTTCCTGCTGCTGCTCCTCGGCCTTATCGGAGCTCAGGCCACCTTTGATCAATACATGGCCGCAGCTATGGGTGAGAATGACCTTTTAACCAATGAAGCCTAATTCTAAAACGCAGATGAGATGGGTCAAATCTAACAATGTTGTTTTTTTTTTTACCCCTGTTGACCTAAAAACTTAACCTCTAATTACATTAAGATTTCAGTTATGAAATAACTTTGTCAGCCTTTAAATCAAAGAGATATTGTATTTAAAAAAATTTCCTTTGCACAAGTGAGATAAAATGTAAGTGTTTTGCATTTTTGTTTCTTAACCTTAGTTATGAAATATTAAACAAAATTAAATTTAGTTATTAAATTAAAGATTTTTTTAAAATAATTTTTTTCAAACATTTTGATTAAAATGTAATTGGACTAAAGATGCTTTGAAAAAGGCTAGGTTCATTTTGTGCCTTTGCTGCTGTTGATTCTCTTCTACTATTTTATCAGGGTTTCTGAAGGTTTCACTATTTCCAATTTAAGAGCGTTGTGGGCAATTATTATCTATTTTTGAAATCTACATGAATTATAAAACAAAATAATCTTAATTTATACAGCTATTAAGCAATATTCTATTTAAATATTTGAGCTAGTTGAATGTATCTTTAAATTTAGGTAACTTTATGAAACTAACTTTTGGTGCTTTTTAAACCCAGGCTCCCCAACTTTGACTCTGCATTACAATATATAGCTCTGTTTTGCCATTACCTTTCAGTTACAAGTAACTGAAAGGTAATGGCTTTGATTCGAGCTTTCACATATCATATGTCAATTTGACACTCAACCTCAAGTTGCCTATAGATGTGCACACTGAATGATATCAGAGTGTTTATTTTGGAGTGCTATTACAGAATATATATAAAAAAAACAAGCTTTCCAGACTCTGGGGATATAATATATTATAATCTATATATTGCATCTGCGTAAAATAATTCAGAATTTTATCTTTGATTGAATTATTGAACTACGAATAAGAGTGAAGTATTTAAGGCAGAATCAATAGTAATCGAAGCTGAAAATTGCAAAATTTTCCTCAAAAGCTTTTACTATTAAAAAAATATATATATATATATATATATATATATATATATATATATATATATATATATATATATATATATATATATATATATATATATATATATATATATATATATATATATATATATATATATATATATACATATATATATATATATATATATATATTTATACATATATATATATATATATATATATATATATATATATATATATATATATATATATATATATATATATATATATAATTGTTGTTATTTTTTATCATTTACACATTTTAAATAAATCTTCCATGGTGCTTGGATGGCAGCTACAGAGTTTGGAAAGCTTGAGTGTGGCAGTGGTCAGCAGTACATGTTTGTTTAGAGGGTTAACACTTGATAGGTCTAAATGAATGAAAAAAAATTGCAATAATGATAGAAATATAAAAATCTGGTCTTCAAAGGATAATTTATGGATTACACAACAGCTGAATGTTGACTGCCTATAGAATCACCTCTACATGAAACCATGAGTATACTGCAAATCTTTGACAGATTTGAGATCCAATTCAGACCTTTATAATGTCCAGTTTGTTTTGGTGGTATAGGGTGGATTTTGCCAGTTTAAATCAGCAACATGTAAAAAACACATTTTAAGTCAGAACTAATTTGTACCATTCCAGACTAGCACATGTTGGCTGAATAAATGCCCCAAATATCTTTTTTCCTTTTAGAAACTCAGTATCAAAGATATTTTAGCTAAATGTTTGTTTCACAAAATAAATCTCAAATGTCTTTGTAATTTTTTTGTCCCAAAAACATCACTTGAAGTATTTCACTTTTTTGTCAGTTTTGTTTCATTTATTTTTACTTGAAATGTATATAAAGTGCTTTTCTACCTAACCTTTCCTTCATCCCTGCTTCCTGTTTTCCTTCTCTCCAAATCCAGGGGAATAGGCGTTGCTGTTTCCACCCATTTCCTTAAATATACATTTCAGCCTAACCTCCATCTCCATCTTCTCTCCCACTCATTTTAACTACCTTCTTTATCCCACCAGCTCAACCCAGAATCCCCCACCCCTTTGTGTTTTTATTTATTTATTTTAACTCTATAGACCCTTCATTGCTAAACACTTAATTTTCTATTGACATTTTGACACATTATAGGATAAATGAATAATTCTGATTATTTCCATGTCCAGCAAAAGGTCAGTGCAAAACCCGTCCCATGGACCTAGTGTTCATCATAGACAGCAGTCGTAGCGTTCGCCCCTCAGAGTTTGAGCAGGTGAAGGTGTTTCTGACAAAAGTCATTGACGGGCTGGACGTATCACCCTCCGCCACCCGGGTTGGAGTCGTCAACTACGCCAGCAGGGTCAAGAATGAGGTAAACATCAATTTCCAACAGATTGGTAACACTCTAAGATGCTATACAGTAGAATTTTATCTTTTATTATGTCCAAAATAATTGGACTTAAATTTTCCTTTTATATAAAAGACAAAAAATTGTAATTAATAAATAAATTAAGGCAGGGCAAATTTATTTGTATAGCACAATTCAGTACGTGGATAATTAAAAATGCTATACATGAACTAGATATTAAAATAGAAGAACTATAAAAGCAGATAAAAGCAAAAAAACTTTTTTAAAGCAAAACAATTGGATCACTAACAGCATTGTTTTAGATTTAGTCATAGTCTTTAGGACAAAAACTCTTATAAGTCTTAGATGCATTTTAGTCATTACTGTATGTGATAGTTCTAGTCGGTTTTAGTCGACTAAAACATAAAAAGGTTTTAGTCTAGCTTTATTTACTTTAGTCACAGACAGACAAGCTAACAAAATGTACACTAAAGGAATGGTTTTAAACATACAAGGTTTCCTTTCAAAAGCAAACGCGTCCTGATTTACTATGAATTATGCAATACACACATATTAATGAACTCAGAAAAGAATTTCCTCCTTTGTCGCTCAAAGTAGATTTAAATGCACAGGGTTTTTTATTTAAAAAAATTACAGAGATAACCTACATGCCAATCCAGACCTAAGCTGAATGAATATGCTAACTAAAATGTTGAAATATTTAAAGGAAATAGATCACATTTAAATAGATAGAAACGAGAAAAATGAGAGAGAAATATTCACAGATCTATGTACCTTTTCATCTGTGATATAATTGAGAGATTCCTCTTGGTAGAAATTAAAGAAGGTTTTGCATCACCTCTTGTGAGCTGGAAGAAATAACATTTTGACAGTTAGACAAAGGGATTTTTTACGCTTTGCAGAGGATGATCAGCCACATAGTTTATTAAGTAGCGAGAGAGCCATTCTGCTGAGAGCAAACACTCAGAGTGGATACTGATACTACTTAGCTTGTTTAACAGATTAGGGCACAAGAATGTATTTTAAATGTCTGACGACCACCAGCTAAATTGTATTTAGTCTTGTCTCATTGTTGAAAGCTCAAACTTATGATTAATCATGTTCTAATCATCAAAGATCCATGTTTAGCTCATCAGTTTTCATTATCCTCATGAAAAAAGGAGCGTTGACAAAATCATTTCGGTATCGCTAAAGAGAAAACAACACTTAAATCATAATCTTAAACTAATAATATCTCAGTTAGCAGTTTAACTTCAACTGTAAAAGGCAGTTCTGTAACAAATGGGTTTTTAATGTTGACTTCAAAGAACTCAGACTTTCAGTACTTTTACACTCTTCAGGGAGTTTGTTTCAGATCAGTGGAGCATAGGAACTAAATGCTGCTTCTCCAAGTTTGGTTCTAGTTCTGGGTATACAGAGTAGGCTTGAACTAGAACACCTGAGTGGTCTATGAGGTTGATACACTGACAACAGATCTGTTATGTATTGAGGTGCCGATCCATTCAATGATTTGTAGACTAACAGAAGGATTTTAAAGTTGATTTTCTGAGCGACAGAGAGTCAGTGAAAGGACTTCAGAACCGGGCTGATGTGCTCTACTTTGGTAGTTGTATAGTTGTAATGTAAACACAGTCTTTTTTGCCCTCTTGATATTATATATTCAGGTGATTGAATTGATTTATTTGCTGGGCAGATCACAACAACAGTCTTTATCAGATTCATTTATCGTTTTGATTTTTAAAACATAAACATAAATTTCATAGCTTTTTATTTTACCTTTTCTTTTAACCAAGTCAGGATTGGTTAGGATTGGTTCATACAAATGAGACTTGAGAACGGAAAGGTTGACTTGGTGTAGCATTTCATTTAATCTGGAATTTTATTAAACTGTGAAAATCTATATTTCTGTCCTAAGGCTGGATTATCCTGTCCAGATTTTTTTTTTTTTTTTAAACTAATCTAAATTTGTCCAGATTCAAAAAGTCTTGAGATATCTCTTTACCACAGAATACTCTAAAGGTTTGGGGAAATGT